GTTGATCAAAAACACTGTTGAATTTCACTGAACCATTTGCTCGTAATGTTTACGTACCAGACAGCTTGAGTTAACAGTTAATTCGGATGATTCTTTTAGCGCTTCTAACTAAGTAGGTAGCTCACTTGTTGTACAAGGTTTCCTGATAAAGACTCACTCGGAAGAGTTCGCTTGTAAATGGGTCTCTCGCATAGTATCGTTCATGAACTATACCACTTCCAAAATGTTCTCTTGCCATCTTTTACTGTGGGCTAACCATCAACAGCGTTTACATTCGTATGTTTGCATTCGTATGCTTCCAGCGAAGATAGATTGCTAATAGGATTGAATCGCTTCGAGCTCCTCGGAATGTACTCTGCTGAAGTCCGCTGATCTATTCTGCGCATTCTACGCATACACTTATATCTTGCGCACGCGCTGAACACGCCAGAGTGCGATTTGTGCCAGAAGGAAAAACCAATCCCATTTTATAACTAGGCTTGCCACAGGCAGCCCAGTAAAAATGAAGACAAACACACCATCGCGCGAAACACAGTTTGACATTGCTCTTGGAAATCATGGATTGCGCGCAACCTACAGATTAGTCACCAATCTGCTAGCAGATGACTAACTAATCTGTAAGTTGCACAGATTTCCAAAATTACCTGTAGGCTCCTAGCCAATAAGAAAGCAGAGAGTGAGTACAATGTATAAGTAAACTGGAAGCTAAAACCTTGAAAAAAAGTGCACTTTTGATCAGGCAAATATTCGACCTCAGTCCAGACTGAGTATTCTCTGTTTTCACTGTCACGCCATCAAAAATGAAAATCGAAGCCATTCAATACAAAAAGTTCAGAATCTATAAGGAAATAGAAGAAGATCAATATGCAAAAAGCCTCGCTAAGAAAGTCAGGGCTGTGCGATATTTCATGTGCGAGATATTCGGAAAAATGTTTTACCCAAACTCTTGGAGACGCCATGCTGGTGTCTCTTTGAAGGGCACAGATGTGGTGGCCGAAAACCAACAGAAACATCTGTCTTTGAGTTTTGCTACAAAAGCGTGAATTTACCGATTGAGGATTCTCAAATGAAACAAGGAAGTGTAACTAAATAGCAAAGGAAGTTTAAAGGAAGTCTGAATAGCAAAATCTGGGGAAAAAAAACCGGTAACATTTTCAACCTACATGAGAGCTGTTACTGGCCGCGATTTAAATGCCGCTTCAAAAGCTTTGAAATTCAAACGTCCTCTAAACGCACAGCGAATAAGCCTTTCGAACCGATCATCTGTATAAATAAAAGTGTCAGTAACTTCTGTAATAAGGCCACATGGAAGTAAACGCTCAGAATAATCGATATTTTTTTAGTTTGAATTTTGGCGACATCATGTGAAAACCGAGAAGAATTCTTTCAGTTTGCCAGGTCAAAAGAAGGGTTTTTTTATACGACGACGGTGCGAAAGAAATAATCACCTTCAGTTTGATGCTCCTTCCTCTCTGCTGAAATAAGGGCCTGTTTACATGGAGGTGGGGGGCCCCAGGTAGGTGAGGTCGCCCGTTTAGGTGGGTTACCCGCCTGTCCATGTAATCTCTCATTTTAAGTTGATCACGTTTACATGTTAGGTGGGGTGACCCGCCACATGTTAATCTCAACTTTCTGGGATGCCCCACCTCCATGTAAACAGGCCCTAAGACGTCATCGCCGAATGGCTCCTGGCATCATCTATTTTAGCATTGCGTATCAAGAAGTGGTCTATTGTACCGGATCAAATTCTTCAAAATAATAGGCTTTTGCCCTAGGTGTTGCTGCCGAAACCACACCGAACAGATTAGCGTAATGGTTAAATTTCGACGTGACAACGTCAACGAGTTAGGGGTTGGAGACACAACAATTTCGTCAATCACCTGGCTGCGCGTGGGTGCAGAGTGAAACAAACAAGGCGAGCGGAACCCTCCTACACTGCTAATTTTGACATTTGACGTTTTGACAAGGGAAACGATTTTCAGAAGTGGACGGGGAGGTGGGTTAATTAAGGAATTTAGAGAGATGCTCACAGGCTCACCTCGTTCTCTCTTCTTGCTGTTTTTGCTCTCTCGCTTTTTCACCGCTTGCCCGCTTTTTTTGCTCATCTTTACTGATCAATAACCGGGCACAGCGGGCTACTCCTTTTCAAAAAATGGCGAATCGAAGTTCTTGGCATGTGCTCTTAGTCTACATCGGTTGATAAGCAAGGTGTTTAAAACGACGACGTCGTCCAAGTAAATATACCTTGATGATCCACGTAGAAGTAAACCGTGCGGTCATGGGAACAACAGACAAACAATTACCTTCGCGTCATAGGCGTGAGCTAAAAACAGATTTTATATGATTATCATGAGGCAAAGGGATTCACTCCCTTCTCTCATTCTCTCTTGTGGAGGAGTAGTAGCTCTTTGAAAATTTGAGATTTCAACTTAAACATAATCAGCTGGGATTAACCGGTCTGTCACAGTAGGTCGTGTTATTGTCGTTTCTTCAAACAATGAACAATCCTGGCCTTGGTTGCTCAAACGTTAGATAGAGCTATCCACCGGATAAATCACTATCTAACGGAAAGGCAGGGGCACCCAACGGTAAATTTTGCGAAAAAGACGTAAAAACAACAACAAAGCGTGAAACTGAGCCTTCTGAAGCCATTTTAAGCATTTTGGGAGATTGCTGGGAAACATTTATCTGTTCTTCACTCCCAGCAAGACTGATGGATGAGTTCCCACCTGACTTACTAGAAAGTTTCCCAGCAGACGTATGTCCAGACATCACTGGCCAGTTTGGGTGTGGTCAAGAGCCATAATGGCTCTTGGTGTGGTCATAGGGCAAAATTCAGCCCTTCAGGGGGAGGGAGGGGTCGGTAGGAAATTGGTGTGGTCTTAGGGTGAAATTAACCCAATAAGTGGGGGAGGGGGGAGGAGTGGGAGAGGTTCCTGACAAATAGGGAATCCCGTGGATAGCGTTATCCGCCTATTGAACAACTGGGGTCTGGTCTTTTGTAATCAGCCGGGATACTGATCCTTAGAGAATGCTATTAGATGCTTCCATTTTATAAGTCATTGACACTATCCTTTGTGTTAGATAAACGAGATAACAGCCTACATTGATGCTTCACAAGTGTACGGCTCAGATGAAGCTTTGGCACAGAGGCTTCGAGATAAAACAACAAAGCTGGGATTGTTGGATGTGAGACCTTACATAAACTCCGATGGCGAACCGATTCTTCCGGAAGCTAATGAGGAAGCTTTCTGCAGATCAACAGATACTGAAGCAAGTCCTTGTTTTCTTGCTGGCGATATTCGAGTGAACGAAAATCACGGTAATTGATTGGTTTATTCATTTATCTAATTTTTATTTATATTTAATTATTCAAGTTCAAACGAAGAGAACATTAGAGCCATAAAAACAAACATAAAGCTTAAACCTTGAAGTTAGTCAGGATAGGAACAAAGAAAATATATCTTACAACTGATATAGGACTAACTGATCGTATTTGGGGAGAAAATGAGCCAAGTCTTACTTGCGCTTTTGAAGGCCAAGAGTAAAAAGGCGCTGTCATAGGGATGTTAGTCATGCCGTGTTGGTAATTACTAGTTTTTAAATGTTTTCTTGTTAAATAGGTTATAATCAATAAGTTTCCATTTAATTTATTTCCACTGTTTTCAGTGTTAAACCAGTTAAAGGCCCATTGCCAAAGTTAATGCAACGCGATCGTTAGTTTTTGTTTTGAAATCGCACCTTTATAAATGGTGCGCTCTGATTGGTCAACTCTTTGCTAGGCAATAGTCTGAGCTAGTCAGCTCTGGTCGCGTCGGCGTTGTGTGTTTCCTCATCTGCCAAATGGTTACACAGTTCGCCTGCAAGTCAGTAAATGATTTCTCATGGACGTGGATGAGTCCATTGATATTTCTCAACCTGAAAGAAACGCGTAGTCGGCTCCATTAGATGCCGAGGGAAAGTGACAAAATATACACGTCCATTCAAGTTTATGATTGTCAGAAATTGTAAGCCGTTGTGAAGATGCAAGGAACCGTTTTTATTTTTCAGATCTCTGCCATTGGCAATAGCTTTTAATAGGTATTTTGAACAGGCAAAGTTTACTGATCGTATTCTCGTGCACGGCTACCAAAAGCGGTTGAAAGTTCAAAACATAATAACTTGTTGGAGTCTTGTTCGGGAAATTTGTTGAATATGCCTTAGTCGTGGATAAAACTTGTAACGATATAAATCGAATGTTATGAAAGTATAGAGGGCTATTAAGCAGAAGATGTAACGTGAAAATTCATGAGGTGATGGTAAACAACGCTTACAAGATTTACTTATTTTTTGACAGGTCCGACGCAAACGGCTCGGGTGAAAGTGGTTTGGAACAGTAGCGCGGCTGACAATAGTTTTGAAGGGATAGCTCGAGCGGTTCGAATAGATGACAATTTTCTTCGAACGGATAACAATTTTGTGCGAACGGACAGCCTGAGTAGTTGAAGGAATGACATTTCTTTTTCGAACGGATAGCTAGAGCCGTTCGAATGGATGACAATTTTTTCGCGAACGGATACCAAATCAGTTGGAAAAGCCTTTCACAACTACTGTATCAGTAATTTCGTGTAACACGAAACTCGCGGGATTTGTTCACTTTTATATGTTTATCCGAAATTCAAGACACGATTCATTCACATATTAAATTCAGCAAGAATAATTTTTGTAAAAAGTGATGTTCCTTTTGGATCCACGGATATTCAAAATTAATCAAAAGATCTTTGTTTTAAAAGCAAATTTGAGCAATTAAGACAAAGTTTTATGGCAAACGCCATTTTTTAAAGCTATCAGCTGCAAATTTTTTGACTACAGTATGTAGTATTGTACCTATGGGATAATTATCTTCCGAAGTAATTATTTTGAGCTTAGAAGTCAAAAAAGTCGTGCCTCAAACTCATTTTTACTCAATAACTTAATATATTGCATAAAAGAGGATGTTCCACTTTCTTTCCATTTTTTACAGCTTTGATGGCCATGCATACAATTTGGGTACGTGAGCACAATCGTATAGCAAATTTTCTGCACTTGTTAAATCCTCATTGGGGTGACGAAAGGCTATATCAAGAGGCGCGTAAGATTGTTGGAGCTGAGATTCAACACATCACCTATAATGAGTGGCTTGCAGTTATTTTCGCAAGTGAAGACCTGGTAAGAACTTGGATGCGTAAGAGATAATTGCTAATTTATGAAAGCATGTATTCGCGATAGCTTACATTTTAGGGGAGGGAGGGGGGCAAAGAAATAATAAAACAGTAATATTAAGATAAATAAGCAAAAATATAATCTAAATTGGTTCGACAACGGTAGCTTATTGTCGCAAGTCACTAAGGAGACGACTTTGTCGGAGGAAACGAAGACAAGCATTCCGAACAAGGAGAAAAACCTCCGGCCATAACAAATTTGGACCGTGTGAGGGAATCCGGTTTGCGGAATCCGAGAAATTTTTGCTTATACATGTAGAAGCCGGAATACAACAAGACTGAAATCCAGTACTTGGAATCCATATTCCAATACTGTCTTGGCCCTCACAAGACTCAAACAAACATTTTACAATAACTGACTTCCACTTTTTTTAGTTTGCTTTTTTTTATTGTTTAGTTTTAATTAGTTTCATGCACGAATCCCTTCTTACTACGAAAAACAGAAAAAAGAACTTGACAAAAAAGCACTTTATTTCCAAATGTGAGCAGAAACGATTTGCCAGATATCGTATTGTTCGGTGTCAAAATCCGATTGAGGTAAATATACATAATGACCTTTCAAGGTAGGAAAATTTGTGCAAGACAACAATTCCGAAAGTCAAGTTTATTCAAGTTAATTTCCGAAAGTTTTCTGGAAAATCTGTGTTTGTTTAAGAAAAGTTGCCCGTGCTTTTTAGTCAGTTGAGCTGCATAGTTATATCATGATATTCAGCATAATTATATCATTCGCAAGTCTCAACACGTGACATCCTCAAACGCATTCCTCCTTGCTCTTTCCCACCTCATACAATCAAGCCGTCTCACAGGATCCCATCGGCTGAACAGACCCTAGGCAAATTGAGTTGAACATAGTATCTTGAACATATCGTTGAACATATCTTTCCGCTGCCCAGTGACCGAGCCGAAGCACGGCCGATTTCTATAGTGGCGGGTTTTAGGATTTAGTTTCGTATCCTCTTTTAGTTCACTTAGGAGACTTCGCCAGATTTCAAGTTTTTTTTACCATGCTGGCGACTTAAATGGAACTCGAACCCAGGCTACTTTGGTTGGAGGTAACAGAGAATTATTGCGCTATTCCCGGGCTGCACCTCCAATCATCGTCAGCTTAATTCACATGCACACTCACTTCAAGTCAGTGTTCAAGTAATAAGAAGGTTCTGTTATCCAATTAATTATAAAGTTTAATCGTCTTTCTTGAATGTTTTAAGCTTATTGAGGTTAAAGAGGGGCATAGTCAAGTATTCTAAGTTAGACATGACTCTGGTGGAGTAAACCTTTTCTGCTCTTAAAGGGACACAGTCAGCAATGGGACCGCGCTGACCTTGACACTACTTTTGCCAGTTTGAAAAGCGTTTACCTCAACCCGAAATCAAATGTACCCGTCGGATACATCTAGAAATCCGCTTCAATCTTGCTTAGAGTTTTATTCGATCCTCGATCTTTTACAAAAAACCTCGTTTTGAGCAAACTTTTACTCATCCTATGACATTATTTTATCATATTTGGTTAAAAACAGTATCCAAAGGAACATGAACAGAAGAGGTGGGAAACGCGTAGGTGCCGGGTGGGAGAAATCGCCTTCGTTTCCCAAAATAACAAAAGAAATGAATCAATAACATTGGAGAGCAAATAACCGTTATATATAATTGAAAACTCGATGGAAAAGGTTACAGGTGTTAGGAAAATCAAGCTTTCTCGACCTTGAACCTTCGACAATAATCCATGCTGACTCCGTCAGTGCTCCGTGTCATTTCTCACCTCTACTGATGATCGAATTCAGAAGTATTCGTCCAAGTTTGGCTTTCCCTGGACAAATCCATCGGCAAATTCACAATAATATATATATAAATGAGTGCTCTGATCTGGCATAGGGTCTATAATTACGATTTGGGCTTGTAACAAGTTCAACGCTACAAGTTTTGTGTAGAGTATTCCGGATGCGCTTCTCACTTTCTGTTTCACGCGTGTGTCTTGTGATATGCAAATCAGCTAAGAAATGTCTTAAAATGCGCATGTGCATCAGCTACCTGTGTCCCTTAAAACCTTACCTGTAGCCGTTAATGAAAAACAACCGAAACTGACCTTCCATATAATTCCTGTCCATAATTCTTTTTCAGAGAGAGAAACTAGGGCTTTTATTGGAGCCTAAAGGGAAATTCTTCAAAGGATACAATGTGTCAGTTGATGCACAGTGTACCAACGCCTTCTCCACAGCTGCTCTTAGAATGGGCCATTCTTTGATCCGCGATACTTTCTTTCTTTTGGACACCAACTTTGGCATTGCAGGATTTGATAAACCTAATAGATTGGAAACCAGAGACTTCTTTAACCCAGATCGATTTTACCAGGCGGGAGACAACGCATACGGGGGAATTTTGCTGGGGCTAATAAGATTTTTTGCTCAAAATGTTGATCGGTAAGCTGAAGGCAATTAATCGTAATAATTTATGAAAATAAACTAGCACTGATCAGGGATTGTTGGGTGCGTTCGCATGTTCGCCACAGCGGAATTTATCAACGTTTTAAGAGGACGTTGTAAGTATTAAACGATGAAGTAAACACAAGACACCATTATGAAATTTGAAATTTCTCTACCAGGGGCACGAAATGCCTTGTAATCGAGGCTATCACTAGCTCTGTATGACATATTTTTTCTTCTGGCAGAACAATTAACTATACTATGATTTCCCAAAATATGCAATTCGCCAATGTTGGATTATATGTTAGAAATCCAGTACCTAGTATAGTTTCTTTTTGCTGAATGCTTCTCGCACGATCAGTTAGGTTGCGTGTTCTTGTGGCGTCAAAAGTATATATGACATGGCATATTATTTTTCGTTATAAAATTTCTTATACTAGACCACTAGCTGTAATAGGTGTTTCTTCTTCGGGCCTCAGTCATTTTTTTCTGTACCCTTAACATGGACATTTTTTGACACATTCAAAGAATCGTTGTTGTTGCTGTTGTTTGTTTTGTTTGTTTGTTTGTTTGTTTGTTTCATACTTTCACGTTCATCATGATAAATATCGTAACTAAAGGTATAATATCATCATTCATGTTCTTAAGGGTTATACTTAGCCGTAATAAGTAAGGAAATTAAGAAGCTTGTTGGAAAGAGAGAAGCTTTTCACATCGTTTGACTGGCATATCAGGAATGTACAAACGCGGCTGTATCATCACCCTGATAAAACATGCAGATATATAACCTTGATCATACATACGCCTGTTTTCAACAAGGTGTTCATATAGAGAGATATATAGATAGATAGATGCGTTTGCGTTTTTGCACGTGCCCCGTTTGTTCCAATTTGTCAAAAGAAGAACGCAAGAATATTGTCTGCAATTCCCTTGATTAGCAAACTCTGAAAATTAAAGAATGCGGAATTCGGTCAGCAGTAGGTCATATAATTGTTGTCGTTGCAGGATTTGAGGAAAAACTTCAAAGATTTCAATTAATTGTTTTTACAACAACGCGGATGAAATAGGACAGAAAATAATCAACTGCCAAAATATTGTTGCTCCTTTCCACATATCAAATATCGCGGACATCATCCACCGTTACATCTTCCTTCTTAGAAAAAAATCAGCGGTTTCGAAATCACTTTTTTTTTTCATTTCATCTGCGTTGTGGTAAAAATTGATATCTTTGAGGTTTTTCCCCTTATCCTGTAACGACAACAATTATATGACCTACAACTGACGGAATTCCGCATTCTTTAGTATTCAAGAGTATGCAAATCAAAAGAATTGCGGACAATATTCGTGCATTCTTTTTTTCTTTTTTTTACAAATTGGAACAAAGAATCTGACGAAGAGAAAATTTATCATTGAACCAGGTCAATTTCACAATAGACGATAACAAGTGAAAATGCACACGGGCGCACGTGCAAGAAGATAAAAGTATCAAGCTATCTATATATATATCTCTATTCGCCACTTTGAGGTTGGCTGGGAGACCGGGTCGAGATGGTTGTCAAAGTGCATTGTGGGATTGCTTTGGGGGACGAATTTGCCACCATGTTGAAAATTCGTCCCCCAAAGCAGTCCCACAATGCACTTTGAAACCATTTCGACTCAGTCTCCAGCGCAACCTCAAAGTAGCCAATATGAAAACCTTTTTGAAAATGGGTATACATACATTTAAAAAAAATCGTGTGTTTATCCATTTTTGTGGGTCTTAATAAAGACGTATCGCGTTACATGATTCATTTTATTTTATTTTTTTGTTTATTTCTTCTCCTTTTAGACGTTTCGTTCGCGCAGTAAGAGAACGCCTGATAATTGAAGGAGAACCTCCTAATGGTATTGTTGGCGATCTAACCGCAATCAACATGATACGCGGAAGAGATCATGGCTTACCAGGTTACGTCAAGTTCCGAGAAGCTTGCGGGGGAAAACCAGCCGTTCGGTTTGATGATATCTGTGATACTATCCCTAGGGCTCAAGTAAAGAGGCTTAAATCTGCTGGCATTTACAAAAGGGTGCAAGACATTGATCTTTTTGCTGGCGGCATGAGCGAGAAAGCCCAACGAGGAAGTGCGCTTGGTTTCACCTTTACATGCCTTGTAGGTCGGCAATTCAAAGATTTCCGTCATGGCGATCGCTTTTGGTATGAGAGAGATGATCACAAGACCGGGTTTACCATCGAACAACTTGACCAAATACGACACTCGAGTCTTGCCAAAGTTATCTGTGATAATACCGATGATGTGCGTCGCATTCATGAGAAGGTTTTTGTACATAGAAACACACGCGGCGCCAATAATCCTGTAGTCGACTGCGATGATCTGCCGTTTATGGACTTGACTGTCTTTAAAGAAGGTGAGCACTACTAACATTTTATTGTTCACTATTTCTGTCCTTTACAGCCATTACTTTGGGTCGGAAGAGTTAAGCCGTTCAGACGGTGTTTAATAGGATTCAACAATGCCACAAAATCTGTGGCTGTGAAATTGCTAAATCTGTAATAGCCAATGATTTCTATTTTTGACGCATTGCGTCAAACTAAGCGAGCAAATAAACAAATAAATATAAGAATTGAAAGAGAAAATGGCTTTTGTATGAGGCGAAAGAGACAGAGAGAGGGTACACGAGCTAGCTTTCAGTGCATCTATTAAATATCACTTGTTAGGTAGTAGATATTAACCCTATTTACTATTTATAATTACTATTATTATTATTCATTCGCGCAGAATGCCTATTGTTCTCGGGACATTTACTTCCAGTTCAACAAAGTTCGTAGATCTATCATATTACGCGCAATCATATAGTGCCAAGAATGCACGAGGAACCTCATCAATATGTTGTAGGTGGCAAACTAAACAATGAACGCAGCACGCTATTGTTTTCTCCTTTTAGCTCTTTTGTTTCACAAAATCGTGAATATGCCCATATTTCACAGTGAACGTTCAAATCATGAGAATACATACACTTTGCTTTATTTTGCGGGAATTTTGTTTAAAAGTTAAACCAAAGAAAGAAAGGTGAAATTTTCCATTTATTTTAGCGCGTGCGAGATCCCGATTATGTCGTAAATAAACTCGCTGTGAGGTGAGTAAAATTAAGCGCGGAAGCCAGCACTCGTCGCTGATTGTAATGTTTTGCTTCTCCATTCGAAAGATGTTAGCTCTTATATTGACCCCCAAAAGTAATTTAACCAAAATGGCGGGTAAGTAAGTTCAGTTTTTGCAATAGATCTTAAATACTTAAGCTCGCTCCATGAAAACAGCGGGTTCCCGGCTCCCGATCCGTGACATTTTTTTTTACCATGTTCATTGCAAGATTTGGTCGGCAGGTGCAATGAACCAGCTGACGCAACGCGATCAGTTTAAAAGTTCGCGGCTTCTCTGGACCATTTTGCAATGGTAATAAAGTACATGCCGGCCATCACATCCACTTTTCCTCGTTCTATTCATTGTACTGATCAAGCGTATACGCGTGGCATATTGTGTTAATAAACTCTAGTGATTCTTTAATATATTTTAAAGTTCGCGGCACCAGCTAATGACGTACTTCACAAGTGAGGAGTTTTCAATGGCGTATTGTTATATTTGACAGCCATTGTTATTCATACCTGTGCTTAAAACAATAGCTCGCTGGCCTTAGGTACGCTGCGTTTCTACCAGACTTTTTCAAACCCGCAGGGATAGTGGTTCTTGTCCATAAATTTTAAAAGTTAAAACATATTCTGTTTAAGGAAAGAGCAATCTAACTTATTCTATCGGTGGATTTGACGATTTTGTCACAGGTTTCCAGAAAATCACGCTCAAAGTCAGCTTCCATACAAAAAATGGCCTCTTTTTAGCAATTTTCAAGTGCCGAGGGATAGTCCTTCTGCTACGAAAAATGCTTATCTTTTGTGCTTAAATCGTAGATATATCATTCATTTTCAATATTCCGTCAGTGGATTTGGCATTTTGGAGCTAACGAAGTCGCGCGAATGAGTTTTATCAACGCTGGCGGGCCAAAAGAGGCCCTTTCTTCTCTTATTCAGAGCTTATTGAAAGCGCTCGTGCGTTCGAATTTGCCGCTTCGGCGGTCATGAATAGCTAATGATGTCCACTCATTCTGCGCGATGACGCATAATTCACCATAATCAGCTACTGATGACCAAATTTGGAAGAATTTTGCGTTTTATGAACCGATGACGTCAAAAGTGCAGCGTTCTTGCAGGTTAATGCACCGTTAACCGACAAGAACTGGGGACGAGGTTGAATTGTTTTGGTTGTGGAAACAAAAATGGCGGACATTTCACTCGTTTCAAGAGTAAGAACTAGGCGAAATAATAGCTAAAAACATGACAAGAACAGCAAGAACACAACTCGAAGGGCGACATCTGTTATTTGGAGAATATTTGCGGAGCTGAACAGCCCTAAACGTGCACTATCGAAGATGAACTTAACATCGATGGAGGTAAGCATGTTTTAGCTATGTTTTTAAACTAGGAATTATTTTCAATGAATAATAAAACAATTATTGAATTCGGCTTTCGTATCATATGAAGAATTGTGGGGATGATAATTCCTCATAAGATACTCAGCCTCATTCATTAATTGTTAACTTACTACTATTATCATTATCGTTATTATTATTATTTTTTTTTTTTTTAACTTTTGAAAGAAACTTTTGAATTTTAGAGGCTGACAATTTTTTTTAACTGAAATGAAATGTTTTTAATTCGAATAACTTTTCTTAGTTAAATTAACTCTTTCTAAGCTAAATTAAGTGCTTTTTAAATCGACAGGAATTGTAAATAGTGTTTTGAATGAATAGTTTTTTTCTTTTTTTCAAGTAAATTAATTGTGTTATTATTGTATTACTCTTACACCTTTAGGAGATGGGTAACGTGACTTCTTTATAATTGTAAATCAACTATAGTCAGGTCTCTTAAGGTCAGGATCGTTACAGAGTTGACAAAAGCACCAAATTTTGCACAGTGATAGCTTATTGCAGTAACATGAATATTAGAGGGGGTGCCCAATGCAAATATGCCACTGAAGCGTGCTAAACAGGATTTAATTATTGTAAATTTAACCTGCTGGGCTCCCTGTGGTGTTTTGATTGAAAATTGTTATTTAATACCTTAAATCACTCAGAATTCTCTTCTCATGTTGTAAACAACAATTTCACTTGAACATCTGGCATTTCCATCCATTATTAGCTTATTGATTGTATAATTAAGTTGATTATTTCTGTGCCCTTAAAGCAAGTCCACAGTCCACCCACATTTTCATAAGACATTTCTAAGATGGCCTCGTCTTTGCTTCATAAGTTGCAAGTACTCAGCTTCTGGGGTTCTCTTCTCCTTTTCTAATGTATTTCAATTAGAGGAGGCCTTATTGTATGGCTTAAGCCTTATTTATCAAGTATTACTTGTCATCACATGTCACTTTAAGCTAGAGAAAGCGTATGGCATAGCGATTCGCACACAAAATTTCACAAGAAAAGAAATTGTCAAAGAGTCTGTTGTATCACATATTTTCAGGGATTTATGACGGCTGTTCATAAAGAGCAAATAACGAAATGACAGAACCCAAAGTAGTTCTTTCCTAAGGAGGTAATTAATTTTTCAGCTAAACATAGGCCTGGATGCCTTTCAGTCTCTCTTTAGGCTGCTTGTGCATCGTGGCACAAGTCATATCATTTACAATTCCCGCAGTTTGTGTCAGCTTTACAAAGCAAAAACAAACAAAAAGGAATCTGGTCTCATAAACGAAAAAAAAGAAACCAAGTTAGCCCACGCTTCAAAACACAGCCCGGTTTATCATGAAGCCTCTACATTTGGCACTGAAGCACTCATGTCCAAAAATAATAACAGCTTATCAAGTCGTAAAAGTGAGACTCAAGTGGTACAAGATTGACTCAAATGATAAATGGTGAATGGTTTAACTGCTGAAACCAGCTGAAACTGAAACTGTAGAAAGGGGGCCGGACTAACTTTTAGGGCCTGTTTACATGGAGGAGGAAGACTCCAGGTAGGCATGGTAACCCACTTAGTTGGGGTATTAACCCGCCTGTCCATATAATCTCTCATTTTAATTTGATCACTTTTACATGATAGGTGGGGTGACCCTTCAAGGTGGGTAGCCCGGTCTGCCACACCGGGTAACCCTCTCAGCTGAGGTTAAATTTTGCCATGCCAACGTTTCAAGGTGAGGTAACCCAGGATAGTCGGGGTCGGATTCGTGATACATCAAATTCGCGCAAAATTCACTTTGGCGCCGGGTGGCTTCACATAATTATATAAGGTAACGATAGAAAGCCACAACACTGAAGGTTGCAGCAAGAGCAGCAAGTGAGCGTAGGCGTGGTTTGCCAGCATTTTTTCTAGTTAACGTGCTTAGCGACCATTCAATAATCTAGAGAAAGTGCATCCCAGGATGGCGGGGCTGTAAGATTGCATGTAAAGGAGGGTTATTTTTTACCCCACCTAATCAGGTTACCTTACCTACCTGGGGTCCCCCACCTTTATGTTAACAGGCGTTAAGTCTCAAGAACCGTGAAACTGGTAATAAACGGTATACCTAGCCCGGGACTAGCTGTGATACTACTTCCCTCTTCAAAAACGTCAGCATAGCAGCCAAAGGAGCCATTAAATAGGTGTAACACGAATATTAGATTGCGGTTGTTTCATGCGTCTCGTTTTGTGACTTTTTTTGTGTTCGTTTTTGTCACCATCTCTAAATATCAATCATGTTCAAAATACCCCTACTAACAAAATATTTCGTAAAGCTCTTTAGAATGATATTCAGCAATAAAAACAAGGTGTGACCAGGAGCCAAATAACATAGGCATAACTGAATGCAAAGTTTTGCGGTATGTAATCTGTCAGAAATCTGTTTGAGTGGTCAAAGTTGGAGCTGATGGGCTTCTTTATCATGACCACTCTGCACATTATTATAGGGGACCAGGCCATAATTATTGTTCACCCTTGCTTTTTTTGGTATTTTCTGTAATTTTCCACAGCATTATTTTGTGAAAAGTTGGTAACTGAATTGCTCTCGAGGAATTCATGATCGTAAGATTTCGTAACCATGGGGTATTTGCCTAATTGCAGCAAACAAATTACATTCATTTTCATAAATGATATATCGTTGGTTGGCTAAAAGAGGTCTTTTTCCTGTAACTTTCAGCTCTTCTGAAGTTAGTTTGTTTGTAAATTGTAACGCACGTGACGACCTTCCCTTTTTTTGAAAGATCGTATAGACCTACCATTAACACTCTGGTGCAAGAGCTCTGAAGTGAATGAGCTCCTTACAGGTGTCTAGGCATGCAGGGACCTCATACATTTCTTTTTAAATGCAAATGTGTAAAAAATAAAGAGTGTTAAAAATTG